AGGTGGACCTTTAAAAAAATTTATAATTTGTCATGATCATTAATAAGAAAGTAAAGCAGTATTTTGAAAACTGAGTTTTGAAAAAAAAGAGAATTCACATATCTTCACTGAAATGCCTTATCATTATTCATTTTGCCTCCTTCTCTTTCTCTTCCAATCTTAGCCAAAGTATTTTGAAATAAAATCAGAATGTATCACTGTCCAAATGTACCACAGAAAAAAGAGAAAGACAGACATCACAAAATTAAAGAAGCATATTAAATCATCTGTTCTCCACATATCTTGTGAAAATCTCTATCTTTCCGTTCAAAGACAACTCTGAAGTTACGAGTAAATTTCAGATTTGGCAAAAACCGTATATCCCAAATTTTGCTCGTGAGCACAACACATTTTCAAGACCAGTACAAAAGCTGAAGTTTCAATCTGTTGATCAGTGTGTTCACAGCGATATTTGAGGAGCTCTTTGATTTTCAGCTGAATATGTTTGTTGAAATAAATTTAATTCAGTATTTCTTTTAACCTGATCCCGTATCTGTCTGTTATGCAAGCGCTTGGCTCACGTTTTCACAGCTTGTAACTGTTACAGCCAAAGGCTCAAATATCCTGACTGAGCTTTATAGTGCTTTCTTCAACAACAGAGTATTCGAATAAATGTTTCCTCTTTATCATGTTTTCAGAAAATTACAGAATTTCCTGCAATGAAATTTTAAAAAAGGTTTCCTAAATTTTCTTTTTATTCACGCTCATGTATTAGTAGCCCAAACTAAGTAAGAATTACATATTGAAACAACTGGAAACTTTTCTGAAAAAAATAAAGAGGGGTGAAAAATAAACCATGGTGTTAGGGTATTATAGAATATACTGAAAATGACTGGAAAAAATGGACAGAATTTAAATAAATCTGCTTGAAGATTTATTTAAATCTGGAGAGATTTAAATGGAGAGATAACAAGCCAGTAAAAAATCTGTATCAAGATGTGGGAGAGAAAGAAAACAGAGAGAAGAGCCCCATGTCTCACGTACCTGCAGTTTCCATAAGGGAAAGATGAGAAGCGAATTAGAACATCCAGGACTCAGAGGACTAAGGGGGCAGACACTGGACACAGAGGCCATCAAGAAGGGGGCTGCATTAAACCTCCTACAGCTTGGGTTGGTTATTCTTATACAAAGAGTTTTGCTCAAGATGTAAAGATAAACCAGACGGACTCATGCGTGCTCAAAGACTGAGCCTGAACTCAGAATTACTCACACCCCAGAAAGTAGATGAAGCTTATCCTAGATTGCTAATGCCTCCAGCTGTCTACTAGAAGCAAGCACAGATCCTCTCTAAAAGATACACCAAAAGAGCATTGCCAGCATGAAGCTTGAGAAGCAAATGAAAGGCAACATACGGAAAGAAATGAGCAAGACAGACAAGATAGGATGACAAGATCAGATATGTGTGTAATTGGGGTTCTAGAAGAAGAGAGAACGGGGCAGAGGCAGCCCTTGAAGAGATGATGGCCAGTGATGCTCCAAACCCTCAGACAGACATCAAACCAGAGACTCAAGAAGGTCAATAAACTCCAAGAATGGCCAGGTGCAGAGGCTCACGACTGCAATCCTAGCACTTTGGGAGGCTGAGGTGGGCAGATCACTTGAGGTCAGGAGTTCGAGACCAGTCTGGCCAACATGGTGAAACCCCGTCCCTACTAAAACTACAAAATTTAGCCAGGCATGGTGGCACATGCTTGCAATTCCAGTTACTAGGGAGGCTGAGGCAGGAGAATCGCTTGAACCCAGGAGGCGGAGTTTGTTGTGAGTGGAGATCATGCCACTGCACTCCAGCCTGAGTGACGGAGTGAGATTTTGTCTGGGAAAAAAAAAAAAAAAAAAAACACAAAACAAAACAAAACAAACAAAAAACTCCAAGAATAATAATCACAGAAAAAGCTGCAACTTGCTACATCATAATGATGCCCATGAAAACCAAAGGCAAAGAGAAAAATCACAAAGTCATCTGCAGGGGGAGAAAAACAAGTTACAGTCATGCCCCTCATAACGACCTGTAGGTCAATGGACGGGGTCCCTTAAGATTATAGGGGAGCTGAAAACTTCCTAGTGACATCACAGTCTGGTCCTAATAAACTTTCAGAGTGTTTGTTCTTTTCTAGTTACCCCCCAGCTTTTTTTGGGGAGACAGCATCTTGCAGGCTGGAGTGCAGTGGTACAATCAGAGCTCACTGCAGCCTCAAACTCCTGGGTTCAAGCAGTCCTCCCACTTCAGCCTCCTGAATAGCTGGGACCACAGATGCTGCCACCATGGCCTGACTAATCTTTTTTTATTTATTTATTTATTTATTTATTTATTTATTTATTTATTTATATTTTTTGAGACAGAGTCTCGCTCTGTCGCCCAGGCTGGAGTACAGTGGCACGATCTTGGCTCACTGCAACCTCCGCCTCCTGGGTTCACGCCATTCTCCTGCCTCAGCCTCCTGAGTAGCTGGGACTACAGGCGCCGCCACCGCGCCCGGCTAATTTTCTGTATTTTTAGTAGAGACAGGGTTTCACCGTGTTAGCCAGGATGGTCTCGATCTCCTGACCTCGTGATCTACCCACCTCAGCCTCCCAAAGTGCTGGCATTACAGGCGTGAGCCACCGTGCCCGGCCTAATCTTCTATTTTTTATAGAGGTGAGGCCTCACTGTGTTTCACAGGCTGGGCAGGAGCCCCTGGCCTCAGGTGACCCTCCTGCCTTGGCCTCCCAAAGCGCTGGGATTACCGGTGTGAGCCACTGTGCCCAGCCTCTGATCTCTTTTCCTGGGAATACTGTCAGGCTAGAAAGTCCTTCAATCCTGTTTACTAGTCGCATTCTTATTAATTGAGAATACTTGTGGAAAGCAAAATAAATCAGGATAATATTTAATATTAAAATATTTTTAGAACATTGCAACTTAGGCCATTTCTTCATGCGTAGGTGAATTAGAATAATTTTAAAGTGCAAGCTTTTGAAAGTTGGGAGGTTTTGTAACTGACTGATGCAGACCCCTTGGGCTACACCCAGTGAACACAGGACTCAGTCCGTGCTGGGAGGAAGACGCAACACTGCATTCTGATGGCCCCATGGGTCTGTGAATACCTAGGTATTCTACCACATACCTGTAGTGTCTGTTTTCTCCAGACATTTTTAGGATGTGTTCTAACACATACAGGCTGAAAAGAAAGACAGGGATTGCACCTGGAGAACGGTAGTTCTAAGTGCTTTCAAGTTAGTGGATTCAGGAAGTCATTCTAAGTGGCTGTGGTCCCCCTTGGAAGCAGGACACCCTCTGCAAACACCTCACCCAGCTTTCTAATGAGGCTGCACAAAAATGCAGTAAGAAATTCTCATGGCAGCACCCTTATGGCCATCTCTGCAACTTTCTAGGCAAAGACTGCACGGGCAGGAGTACTCACAGTGAGTATATTAGCCTCTGTTCTGAACGGACCTTCAGCTCACACCACCCAGGGCATGGAACACTTTGAAACCCAGTTTTAGAAGGAATACACCATTCTTTTCAATGCCTCATAGGCCAGCGTTCTTGGTTGTGGACACTATTTCTTAATGATAAGCCCATGTTCCTGCTGGCTCTCATTCCTCCCTGAGGTCAACCTCTCAGTGCGTCTTCTCCGGAGAATGCAGGGACATCTGCAAGGCCTCCTGAGGCAGAGGATAAAGTGGCGCTGCATTAAAAAAATGACCTGATCGGTGTCTTAAAAATTCAGGCTTTTACATGGACTTATCATGTACTTTGGCTCCTAGGGGCTGGGGTGGAGAGGGAACGTTGGTGATGGCCTTGACTGATCACTTACTTACTCACTGACAACAGCCACACAGCCAGGACACGCTGGGCATTACTCAAGATGAGGGTGGGGAGCCCATGAACCACACATGACTGATACGGATTCCTCCTCAGGGAGGTGTGCCCTTGCAGATGCAGGTGCCGTGAGCTGTGAGCAGAGCTGGAAGGTGGTCAGTACTGCCCTGTGGAGATGCACCCCGGCCACTTAACCCAGCCTGGGGGGCTGCGTGGGGCCAAGCAGGTCGAAAAGGCTTCCCAGAGGAAGTGGCATCAGATGAAGCCTAAGAATGAGTCGGAGCTAGCCACACGAAGGCGAAGCTGGTGGCCATGGGTGAGGAGCATCCAAGCCACTCACTGGCTTCACGGTTGCCATCACAGGACTGGGATCAATTTTTATGCACTCTTTGTTCAAGCTACATGGACAGCTCTGCCTTCATTTAGCATTTTCAACCCAGAGTTTGTGGCCTTTGCAATGCTTTATATTTTACAAAGCACTTTCATTTATTATATCAATTACAAGGCACAGCATTCAGTAAGCACAGTCAGCACTGCACACTGCAAAATATACATTTAGTAAAACCTGTGCAATAGACTGAGGAGCAGAAGACGCCGTCTCAATCTTTGGGCAGTTGATATAAAGATGACAAGGAAACCCAGGCTAAGGCAACCCTCATCATAACGTAACGTCAGGAGAAGATGACCATGTCTAATGGGGCAAGGCGGACTGGAGGTGGCGCAAGCTCCTGGACCACCAAGGCTGGCTGCTAACCCCAGTGGAACGAAGGCGGCTTAGTCTTGGGAGGAGAACAGCACCTACCTCCTCTGGTCATCCTCTTTCCTTCCTCTTCCTTCCTGTCTCCAAGGTCATCAATGACCTGTTGTCTGCCCAAGGACGGGAGATTCTTATGTTACCAAACATTGATTGGGGAAATTCATCCTCAGTCTTTTCAATAACCAGTCCCAGAGAGCATCTTCTTCGCAGGTGAGCCTTCCTCCCCACCAACGCCTACCACTCTCCTTTGGATACAGGGAGCAGAGGGGTGTGTGACGTGTGAATGACGACGACACTCCTTCGGATGATCCTGCGCCGGGAGTCTGCTGCAGCATATTCCCTCACTCCAGTCACACCCACAGAGCCAGTGCCCCTGAAGGGACTATAAATGGACGCAGGACTCACCTGTGGCGAAGACAACATTCCTCGAGACCAGACGGTGCTCCACGATGGAGAACTGCGGGAGCTCAATCCTTTCCACTCCGGTGACAGCCTTGTCCCCGCCTCGCCAGTAAAACTCAATGTCATCCGTGGTGTAGCCATCTGCCGAGAGAGAAGCAGGGAGACAGGAAACGTCACCATTTCGTATAAATGCACGGCTAAATAAACTATCATTAACACGGAGGTTGTGACTCTGCTATATTTTGAGTAGATTTGCTTAATGTGCTTGTCTAGGGGAAGTGTCATCAAAGAACTACCTTTCCAATATTCTCAGTTATCGTTGCCATTTTATGTGTACCAGGTTGGTATTGAAAAGTCGAGAAGCTGGGGAGAATGGGTGCTCTGACCAGAGTCCTATCTGTGAAGTGCAACTTCAGAGCTGACCCAGACACCACACAGAGATGAATGTAAAATGTATCTCAACTGCAATGAATAAGATAGTTTCAAGAGAAAATGAGAATTGAAGTATGAAGAATTCTGGAAAGGAAAATCCTCTCAAGAGCTTTTGAGAGAGTTCAAAGACTGAAGGTGAATTTCACCAATCAGTGATTGATTACATGAGGTGAGCTCAGAGAAAAAGGAATGTTCTCCTTAGCATATTTGGACGGTTTTATCAGCTCTTCTTGGCCACGAAGTTTGCCAACCTTACAAATGCCTGTTCTTGGGATATTCCTGACCCTTAGAGATGTGCGCAGGTGGTCTCATCAGAAAGAACAGAGGTCGTTAGCTGGATTATAGCTGCAAATCCAGCTTTAGTGCAGTGCTCATGTTCACGTGGTGATTAATCACGGCTTCTCAAGAATGAGTAAGTGGGGCAATAGAGTCCATTGTTACTTGTAACACCAAGGAGTCTCCTAAAACATTAGGTCAACTTTGTCAATAAGATCAATTAAAACAGAGATTGGGAGAACAATATTATCTCAATATAAAGGACTTTTTAATTTGAACATAAAATGTTAAAAAAATATTCACTCAATATTGAATGTTAGTCAAACAAATGGACCAAAACTGTAGGGTGGGGAAGGGATGCTCCCCACAGCTAATGCCACCTTCCTGGTCCTACCTACTGTCCTCTCTTTAATAAAACACGCATCTTTCCACATGGTAAGTGGCATACTCTGCTTAAAACCTGCAAATGCTTCCCAGTGAAATTATTAATAGCAAAACAAGTACAAACTCTTTACAAGAACCTCAAGAACCTACAGACCTGGCCCCCGGGCCTTCAGCTCTCCTTCCTCGTTCACCCAGCGAGGCCTCACTGGTCTCTTATTGCAGCTCAGACCAGCGTGCTGTGCCCAGGGCTCCCGGGTCCTGTGCAGGGGCACACCTCCAGATCTTCATGTAGCTCATTCTTTCCCACATTTGCATCTTGGCTGAAATCAAACCTCGCAGAAGCCTTCCCTAGCATTCCATCTCACAGGCAACCTTGCAATCTCTCACTGTGCTTTTATCAGACTTTACTTTCTTCAAAGCACTACCACTATTTGATTTTGGTCTAATGGTTTCCTGTCTTTTGTGGACTATAAACTCCACGAAGGCAGGTGGTTTGTCTGTCATCTCTAAATATCCCTGTGCTTACAACCGTGCCTACACAGAGTTAATGTCCAGTGAGTATTTGTTGGATAAACTTTGGGTTGATGAATTTGACCTCCCGTGTGGAAATAAAGACACCATTTTTCTTTTGTCTATTCCCAACATGGAGACATGTGTAGTCAGACCACAAGAGAATCAGGAGAATCCCTTCTTCCACTCAAATGATTAAACCATGGATTCTTTGCAGAGAAGGGACCTCGCACATGGCAAGGATCTCTTCTACAGCAGATCTTCCTGCTCATCAAACACCCCTGCCCATACACCACAGCGGCAGAGTCCTCTCCCTTAGGAGTCACTCGCTGTGTGACCTGACAGTTGAAATAGGAGCTGCTGCCTTACTTACATTCCAAACTGGCCTTCCTGAAACTTCCACTGACTCACTGGAGTTGTGCCCTCCGGCCACACTGAAGCCAGTTAACTTCTTAAGATCGTCCTTCAAATCCCGGGAAATCATCTTTCCCCTGAGCCTTCTGTCCTCTAAGGTAAACGTCCCCAGAGAATTCAACTACGCATCATTTGACAAGGCTTTACGTCTTTCTTCTTCTGTAAAAGCACAGCTCTCGGAAAACATGACAGTGATGTAGGTGGAAGTGAGGGGCACCGTGGAGCGAGCCTCACCCAAGATCTACACTAGGCTCTACCACCAGAGCAGTTTCTCAACACGGTCATTCACAAAGACACTGGCCTCTTACCACAATTGTATCAAGTGGGACTGCAAAGTCAAAGTCATTTATCCCCACAAAATTCAGTACAAATATTGACAAGCCTAAATCCAATTGAGACTAGTTATAAACCAGTTTATAACAGGCCAAGATAAGAAACAACGAAAAATGTATCCTGATATGCCAGGAGGTGTAGTTTAGGTAGCAGGAGGCACATTGTTAGATGTTATGGATGCAGCTCTCATCTCTCATATAGGAGTACTCAATGCTGAATTATCAATAAAGCATCTGAATACTACTCAAATTGAAGAAAATTGCCGAGATGCAGAAATAGCCTGCTTGTAAAGCCGAGTTCCTGATGGGAAATGAGTTTTACTCTGACCGCCCAGGGTCCCAGCAGTGCAGCCACTCATGCGTGATGAAGCATATTGTAGGAAAATAGCATCTCGGTGTTTGCTCTCCTCTCACTGAATGGACCGAAATGAGGGGCATTTGTTTTCTTCTATTTCAGCGCAGCAAACAGACTCTCTTAATCAGATTAGAATGAAGAACTCTTTTATACTGGGTCTCTCTCTCTCTGTCTTTCTCTCTCTCTGTCTTCCCCTCTTTCCATGTCAAAAAAATTATGGATGCCTTGAAAAAAGATGCTAAATAATGACAACAGGATCTAAAATACAAATAGAAGGAGAAAGAAACACAGATACGGATACACACAGCTTTCAATTTCCAGAGTGCAGTTCTGCTCGTCCAGAGGGTATCTCCTGAGGTCCATCATGCATGCTGCTGTCGTGGTGATTCTGAAATACACAGGGTGAGGGAAGATATTAAAGAAGGGCTGAGAAACGTATCAGGGAGACTGCTCCTATATAAACAGCGAGTAAGTACCCCGTGGGACCCCTGCCCAAAGTACACCTGGCTAAACATCGTTCACTATACACAGGGAGAAACTTGAGTAAATAAGAAATTCTTTTCAGCATAATATACAAGAGATTTATCAAGGGAAAAAACACAAAACTTTATATTTTTTAATCATTTATTTTTTGATTAACATAAAAATTGTATCCATTTGTAATATACAGTATGATGTTTGGAAATATGTATACACTGTGAAATAGTCAAATTGAGGTAATTAACAAAGGTGTTGTATCACCTATTTAGCTCTTTTTATGTGTGATGACAACGCAAAATCTACCCTCTTGCAATTTTTGAGTATGCAGCACTTTGTTATTAGCTATAGTCACCATATTGTACCAAAAACCTTACCATGTCTTACTGACTTTGGATCATCAATGGCAGAGAAAGGGGGTTTCCAAGGAAGTTCTTACCTTCAATGTTTGCTTCTCTTCTTGTCTATAGGCTCTCTTGCCTCTCTAGTACAGAGAGATCCTATGTGTGGGACACCACCAATTAGGTTTTAAGACTGAGTCTTTGACTTTCCACGGGAAGTGTTAAAGTAGCTACAGACGCACTTTGGAACTCTAAACCTCACCTCTGCTTCTTTCAATTTTATTATCGTTGTTTGTTGGGCTGGATTCTAATATTACAGATTTTTTTTTAACTGTGTGATCATCTCTCTTTTCAAAGAGAATATTTGGCTTCTATTTTATCAATCATGAACCAAAATTGGGTGGGTTAAGTTCCCTTGGGGCCAGCTAAAGCCATGGAAATAATCTCTTCCCCAAAACAGTTAAGGCTCCACCACGCAATGGTTAAACCAGCCCTACACTGAGAAACAGTACTTCTAGAAATGTCCAGTCCTTTTCCTACTCTGTCTGCAGCCTCCTCTTAGGGAGACCAACTTACTCAAAGCTGCTTCTTTGAAAACGCAACTATTAGGGTCAATATATTTTACATTATATATCTCTAGAACCCCACCCTTTCCCCACCACTGTCAAAGGTGACTGGACTGGAGTGGGTTCCTGAGTCAGAGACAGCAAGCCATTAGTGGGTGAGAGATACATGACACGGGCTGAGTTGGAAGGCAGAGTGGAGCTAAAGAGACTCTCTTCCATAGGAATGAATTGAACAGCAAAGATAAGAGTGCAAGTGCATCTGCAAGGCCATGGTTTACAGGCTTGTGATGTTGTTTTCAGACTGGAGAGCAAAGGATGAGAAAGCATCACAGAGGAGAGAAGGTGCTGCAAGGAGAGTTGAGGATGCAGTCACAGCTGTGCCCTGGGCCACAGCGGGGGGCCTTGCTGAATGTGTGCTCCACCTCTCCAGGGAGCAGCTTCTCAAAGCCTGTGCAGGCTCTGCGTAGCCAGCAGTCCTCGCTATGCCCATTCAACGATGGGGAGTAAGAATGAAAATGTGAGAATGCTTTCTCCTGAGATTCCTAGAGTCACCTTCAAACCTCAGCTGTCCTTCAGGTTTCATCTTTCTTGAAGCTCAGTGTTGAACTTTATCTGAATGGTCTTCATTATTAACATTCACAACAAACCTACTAATGCTGCAGGTAATGAGCAAGCCCGACTCTTACCAACAGATCCTAACCCAAACATCTGTAAAACACCAGACATGTGCCAACTCTGATGGACTTGTCTCATGTACCCTACACGCAGGTGATAAGGAAATAATGGAGTAAGGTATGTCCTTCTATTAGCATCTGGTTAAGCAAGCAGATAGAGCAACGTTCTGCTTTGCAATGATTGAGAGCAGCAGTGAGGGAAAATGTCAACGTATTTAGCAAACAGGTCAATGCTTAATTTTTTATGCACACAGCACGCACGCACCATGCAGACAATCAGCAAAATCCATACCAATGGTGAAAGTGTGTTCCTTCCAAATGTCGTAACACTTCCCCTTATCCTAGGAGTCAAGGAGTGCACTACGTTCTATGATCCCAAACCCACACACAGCTCTTTGGCATATTTTTCTACAGCATTTAACATTCTAGCCAACTGAAGTTCCAGACTCACACTTTTCAACTGTGGCATGTGTTACGGCAGATTGACAACCCAATGTCCATACGAGATGCCCATAAAGCAAAATTAGAACAGAGTTCTGCTAATATTATGAATCTTTATGAAGAAGAAAAAAACCTTCACTGACAATGTTCAATTTTCCTTTTTTTTTTTTTTTTTTTTTTAATACGGAGTCTTGCTCTGTTGCCCAGGCTGGAGTGCAGTCGTGTGATCTTGGCTCACGGCAAGCTCCACCTCCCGGGTTCTTGCCATTCTCCTGCCTCAGCCTCCTGAGTAGCTGGGACTACAGGCCCCCCACACCATGCCCGGCTAATTTTTTTGTATTTTTAGTAGAGACGGGTTTTCACTGTGTTAGCCAGGATGGTCTCAATCTCCTGACCTCATGATCTGCCCCACCTCGACCTTCCAAAGTGCTGGGATTACAGGCATGAGCCACCACGCCTGGCTTAATTGTCTTATATATTTTGGTACCTATTCACTTGAACTGAGTCAGTGATTGAAATTTCTGTTTCTTATTGTTTTCTTATTCACTCTTCAAACCACCCCCCCACACACACACACACAGACACACGCATACACACACATAAACATGCCCAAATTGTTTGGGGACACCATGGGGATACATTATTGGAGGGACAAGGGGAACCTAAGGCTAGAAGAACTGGTGACAGCATAGCCTTGTCCCACCAAGTATACCAAGTACAGCAGCTATCCAGGTCTTCTCATTCTGTTATAATTCTGGCTATAAAATGGAGGCCCATTTCAGTGAGCTGAGATGGGGCCACTGCACTCCAGTCTGGGTGACAAAGTGAGTGAGACTCCATCTCAAAAAAAAAAAAAAAAAAAAAGAGAAAAACAGAAAGAAAAACAGAGAGAAGGAAATTCTGAAATTTGTGACAACATTGATGGAATTGGAAAACATTATGCTAAGTGAAATAAGTCAGGCCCAGAAAGACAAATACCACATCTTCTCACTTATATGTGGAATTAAAACAATTAACTTATAGAAATAGAGAGTAGAATGGTGGTGGCAGAAGCTGCAGGAGGGGAAATAGGGAGGTGATGAGCAAAGGGTAGACAATTTCAAACGGAGAATATGTTTTCTCTTTTTGTGCACTCTACTGCACAGCATGGTGAGTATAGTTAGTAGTAGAGTGTTGTACATTTCAAATTGCTAAGTAAATTTCAAATGTTCTTGCCACGAAAAAATGTTAATTATTTGAGGTGATGGATATGTTAACTAGCTTGATTTAATTATTTCACATTGGATTCACAAATCGTAACATCATTTTGTACCCCATACATTTTTCCCCACGCAACTCCCTCTTCACAGAACCCATAAATCTATACGATTATCATTGTCAATTTACAATAGGAAAAAAAATGGAGCCACTTTTTTCTTTTTATGTGAGGAATAAGACAGACACATCTACTCACTACTCTTCCTCATTTCGAAGAAATACTCAGAAAACACTCTCAGTGGAGAGTGAGGCACAGGAGCTTGCTCTTGCTCATGCTACAAAAGGTAACCATCAAGATAGAAGAAGTAGCTGAATAGCTGGGACAAAAAGACAAAAGGAGAGAGAGTGGAGGTGGGGGGCAGAGTGATGAAGCCAACCGTGGCGGAGAAGCACGCCCCAACCCCTCCCTGAGCCCCAAAATCCTCATCCAAGTTGACTCAACTCATCAGAGGCTGGGGCAGTGGGCCTTTTGAGTGACTCGATCCTGGGACATGGCAGAATCATCGAACGTGCGCTCCACCTCTCCGGGGAGCAGCTTCTCAAAGCCTGTGCCAGAGTTGTGTTCGGGCTGACAAGGGTTACAGAGGGGTTGAGGAATTTCACAGATGGCAGAACTGAGTTCAAGCCGAGTGCACGGAGATCAACCAAAGGCAGAGAGGCCACAGTGACATCCGGGCTCCACCTGTGTAATCCCCAACACTCACACACGTGGTTTTATATTTTCTCTAACAAACGTATATATTTTTCGTCCTGACAGAATAATGTAACCAACATCTAACGCCACCTTGTCCAACCCTCTGCGATCTGAGAATTCCACTGTTATTCCTAAGGAATGGTGATGAAGCTCAGCAGTCGGAATCCAGTAGGACTGGGTGAGGCTCTCCCGGTATTACTCTTCAGCAGATTCCCTTTTTTTTCTTTTGGTTGTTTCTTTTTTGTTTTATGATTGAGAGACAGCAGTGCTTAGGGTCTCTGTGACTACAAGGCATGTCTCTGATAGAGAAGCAGAAAAAGATAACGGCCGAGTGACAGAAGACGTGCCTGTGTCCAATATATCCTTTCCTTACAGTCATACTTTGAGAATGCTGAAAGTAGAAAGAAAAAACAAACAAAAAAGTTGACGAAGAGACAGAGGAGTGAGGACTAGAGAACTGGACAACATTACAGGGATGGTGCTGAGTCATCATCTGAGTGCCCAGCACACCCACCAGTCACATCTGTACTTCATGGAACACCGGTTGAGCACTTGCTCAATGCCCAGTTCTGTGCCAAGCACTTTAATACACACGTTTACTCTCACAACAACCATATTACAGAGGTATTATTATCATTATATCCATTGTTCAGATGAGTGAACCAAGGTTCAGAAAGAGTAAGCAGCTTGACCATGTTCCCAATGCCACTGGAAGGCAGACGCGGCATTCAGATCCAGGCAGTTTGAACCCTATGCTCTGCTACATCTGTATTACCTCTTTCACCTTAAACATACAAAATATATTCAACTTTTAAAGGCCTACTCAGGAAATGAGAATCTTGTTTTGAATGAAGAGCAAGAAGGTTGATAAATTTATGTAGACAGATAAAAATATTGATACTTATACCCATAATATATACTTTTATACCCATAATATT